TCATCATCATCATCATCATCATCATCATCATCATCATCATCATCAGCTTCACATTCCGGCTTGGACACGCACCACCGGCACCTTTGGCCTCAAACCACCGCCAGTGGGGCGGCTGCGAGTGAGATGGGCCTCCGCGGCCGAGGCTTCCGTTCCCAGGATGTCATGGCGGCGATGGGTGCAGGGGCCTTGGAAGCCAATGCGGACTTGCAGATCGACGCTGGGCCACAGCGGGGCGGGGGCTGGGCTTCTCGTGCTTCGGCCCAAAGCGGTGTCGAGTGCTTCTACCGGGTGTGTAGCAGTGGTGTCACCGGGTTCTCGGGCGTTTTGGTTCGGAGAAACCCAGCAGATTTTTGGGAGGACCAACAGAGGTTAAGTGACCTGAACTAGGATCCTACCAGGGTACCGAACTGGGATAGCTTAGTTCGGGCTCTTCAACCTCTGTTGGTTTTTGGGAGGAGCCAAGATTTGGGAGGTGTCCAAAGTTGGCTGAAGTGGCTGGCGGCTGGATGAGTGCAACGGTTCCGTCCAGCCGAGGTCCCGGCCCAGTGGATCCCGGTTACCACGATTTATATATTATATATAAGGAACATTAAGGAACTAGGGATTCTAGGTCTATGGTTTTAGTCTTTGGAAGCACTGGTTACCAGCTAGAGGCTATAGTCGTTTGCCTGGATGCCTTGGGTCTCTTATCCTCTAGCCACGAGTGTTGAAGATCGCAAGATGTTCAGCTTGGCGGTCGGAGCGGCGGCTCCTCACCCCTTATAGGAGACGGAATTGACCCTGCCCACCGACATCTACCGACCCATACCGCCCAAGGTGCTATGAATATCCAGGTCGTGGAAATTCGTGGAATGTGGAGGGTACCCTAATTTTGACGTACTGTACCTGTTTAAATGCATTAGGTTGGAGGCCATCTTGCTTGCCTGGGAGACACCCTCAACCTGCCTCAGCCCAACCTCGGCGACCTTCGCAGTAAAGAGTAGATCTGAGTACTGTCCCTAGGGTTCCAAAACACACGCTCAGAGGGTGTTCCACAAGTTATTCCTTTGAGACAAGGTTTCAGCTAATGATATGTTCCGCGTCAGTGCTGACAAGGAACTGGGAAGCCTCTTCCTGCCCCCCTCATCCACCCAGTCCAGCAAGTGATGATTGTGAGCATTTTTCTCCCCGTTGCCCACACTATGCATCACCTATATGCAAGATTCCTGGGCATCCAGTTGCAACTTGAAGACAACAAGTGGATGATGTTCTAGCAACATTTGTCAACACATGGGATCCCCAGGTAAAAGAGACTAATTAGTCGTCATTGTCGTCATCGCTGCAGAACTCATCCCAGTGCCCAAGGTCAGAATGACTTTTTTGCCTTAACATGATCGGATAGGTAAGGCACAAAACCGCCCCTAAGCTTTGAACATACAACAAGTCAAATATGGAAGGTTGTTAACAATCATCAGAGGGGCCCAAGGTAAAATCGCCGCAAGGCAATGAACTCGACCTTGCAGTTGTTGGCCGACTGGGCCACAGTCGCCATCCTTCCAATAAAATCTTCAGGCTTGTACCCACTGAAGAAGCGATGGTTGTAGCCTGAGTCAGTCCATCGCAGACAGTCTTGGACTTGGCCCCCATGTCAGGTTAGAATCTTGCGTGGTATTGAAATTAAGAAAATAAAACAAAACTTCTGAAAAGCCAGCCATGCAGCATTCTTCCAACTGCTGAAATGCTAGCTCCTGCCAAGCCTCACTTATAGGGTCTCTATCAAGTACAAACGGGGGGTGTGTTAGACATCGATAATTCCAATGTCAACTCAAGTCATCCCTTGTTGTTGGGCGATGAGATTATGCAGCCTAGTTGACCCCAACATGATCTGTTCCCAACAATATTTGGAAACAAGTAGCGTGTAGTTTTGGGCGGCTGGGAAAGAGCAGCACACCAGCTTCAACCGCCATGTTCGATAAAATTGCATATGCAAGAAGACATTCATCAGCAGTGTCTAGCAGATCCTTCGCCTGCGTTTCTGTCAAATACCTGGGAAGAAGTTCTGTTTTGCGATGCCACTCAGCGGCAGAGAACCTCGAGAGAAGTGAGAGGTGAAAGTTTCCATATTAAGCAAGACAACTAGCTAAACATATTGAACATATAAAAGTTAAAAAAGGGGGGTTGCAACTCCACCGGCCCTATACCTCACGCAGAGGCGAGGTGGATGTGATTTTTTGTAAAGATCTTGATTCTTGATCTTTTGTTGTGGTTTCCCTGGTGCGGATGGTGACATACCCCCACCTCCCCTCCCTCTCCATGTCCTAGGTTTTTCTAAAGATCTTCATTGAGGATCTTGTGCTGTGGTAACAATGCTGACAGCCCCCCCACCTCCCCTCCCTCTTCTCTTCCCCCTCCCCCTGCAAGGAATCATTGATCAATGAATAGACATGGGCAGGGGACGTGGCCACAGCCGTTACTAAGTATGACCACTGGGCAAAACCGAGCAACAGCATCGATGCCATCAAGGACAACCATCGATCTTCAGGATGCGCCTTTGCAAACTCAATTGTCTCCTCACAAAGCCAAGCAACGCAGCATCTAGCCTCAAGTAGGCTCAAGCCTTGGGCGAAAGCCTGATGTCTGACAATACCTTTGCAATTCAAAGATATTGTTGAATAGCTTAAGATGAAGAGGGCCATGGATGTGAAAAAAAACAAACGGATACAGTATGCATACCCTGAGCATGTGTGTGGAAACCTAGGGTGGGAATTTCAGGAAATATATGAAAAGACCAGCAACATTCCAGGCTTTGCTTTGGAGCTCGGGCCAGGGATGCTGCTTGCTCTTCAATCTCCAGGGCCGGAATTTTGGCATTGAATGCCTCATCTTGGCAATCCCTTGATTGGGCTTTTGGGATTTTGAACCTATAAAAACACCAGCTAACTTAAAAGAAAAGAAAATCTGGACTAAGTAGTGGGAGTTTACTGTATCTTGTTTGTTCGACTCCAAGTCTTGAAGGATTCATAAGCAAGAAGTAGTCTGTCTCCCTCAACCAAGCCAAGACCACCAAAGGCACAGTCGTACTCTAGCAACTTCCGGAAAACACCACCACAAATCCAAAGATCAGCGCCTAAATTGATGGTGTGCATTCCATCCCATTTGATCATCTTGACGTCGAAAGCTGGTAGTCGGATCAAAGGACCTGAGGAAGAGATATGTCCAGGCTATTGCAAAGAGGTTGGACCCCAAATCGAGCTAATAAGGAAATGAGAAAAAAACATGCCTTGTACTACAAGATTCTTTGATCACCATCTTTGAGACCTTCAAGAAGGAAAGTCTGTGTGTCATGTCGGAACTTGGTGTGCAAACTCGCAGGGGCACTGAAGTAATTGGGCTGGCTTGCACGGCAGCAGTGGCAAACAGAATTGCATAGGTAGTTGCTGGACAACTGTAGCCAGTCCTGAAACCAACACATTCTTGTCCAACCATCGATGGTTAATTGAGCCCAGAAAAAGACACACAAAAGATTTTTGTTCCATTTCAAGAATCTTTTTGCCACTTCCAGTCTCCCCTGATTTCCGTCACCGCATATTTTGAGTTCGGCTTCCTAGGGTCAATGCTCACTCCATCATGGTAGAGACCACATAGTGAGTCCACCACCTAAGTCGTTGCAGTGGGATAGCCATGGCCAGCGAACTCGCAAAAATTGCTGGGCAGCAAGTTTGAGTGGCTTTGGCTTCATTGACAAATTTATGTTGGGCTGGGGCCAACAGGTGTTGAGTGAACTAGCTACAGGTTGGAGACAAGGCACTGCATCCAAAAGCTTGAAGATTGTTGGTAGTCCTGCTTTGATTTCCTTAGTGAACCCCGTGGCCAGAGATACTTGGAAACCCAAATTTGTAATCACCACCCAAATAGCAAAACTTAAACAACCAGCAATGCATGAAAGTTTCAGTGCGGCATAGGCACAGGGGATAGCAAGACTCAGCACTGTATTTTCTCGAATCAATGGCGCAGCCAAATGCTATCACCGTGATTTCCTCCCCATTCTCCCTGAACTCACATTCATCCCCCCCAAAGCCAAATTGGGATGTGATTTCTCTCCGGGCTGATGTTTGCCAAAGGGGAACCTCGTTGGGCAAGGTGGTTCCAATACTGGCGAATGTCATCTTCCCTGATTTCTGGCCAATCACCAACGACATTGTGGGGCAGAACTATTGGATGTTTCCTGCAGGGCTTCAAGATCTGACTCACCCATATATTTATGCATATTTCACCCCCCAAGAAATACCAATTTGAACTAGACACATATAACCAAGATCAAAAACACATGATTGCAATTTAATATGACACAATCCCATCATATCCCATCAGACAGTCCTGATTTCCACACCATTGGGCCCTCGTGTTGTTTGCAAGGGCACATCTATCCAATCGATTTGCACCTTTGAAGGGATGCCACACTTATACAAAAAACCTTCATGGTGATCCAAACACATTGATTGGAGTGATTGGAATGCGTATTTAAAGTACTAGCGTGATATATGCGTATACAAAACATCAAAAAAACACCTGTGGCAAAGCTGGCCTGTGAGGGATCTTTCTTGCTCACTTTCCGAAGCATGTCACGTTGTACATTCGACGTATACTTGCCCTTGCACCCAGCTTGCTGCAAGGATTTGCATGGTCCCCGCCATTGAACTCCGTGAAGTCGAAATTCCTGCAATCCAGGTCTGGCGGGGTATGGGATAGCTGGGTGGTGGGGCCACATATTGGTAAGAATCAGTCCAGGATGCTCTGCATGATGTTTTCTTGTTTTTGTTATGACACTCTTCAAATTATATAAATGTGAATAACTCAAAGCAACATCAACTTTGCCTGTAAGCTTTTCCACAATTGCAGTCCTTGTCAACATACGTCAGCATCTTTTGGGTCTTTGCAAATGAAGTTTCCTTGGTGCAGAAAGAAATGACTAAACCATTCCACCAAAGTTTGGGTGCAGTCACCTATGAGTTCAGACAAGCTTCTCCCAGCCCAGCTTCTTTCAGCAAGAAAGCATAGAGAGGAGAAGATTTGGCTGCAGCCAAGTTGGGACCTGCGTGGGCATTCTCAACATTGCCAATCTGTATTGCATTGAACTAGTTCCAGTACTGGACACACCCAGATCTAGCGGTCATGCTTTTATCAGAGAGCTCAAGATTTCCAGACTGGCTTTCCCCAGCCAGTGTCCAAAACTATTGGCGGCTCATGCCAAGCCCCATCCAGCAAGCAGTACATACAATATCATAAGGCGCAATAAATTTCGATATTAAATTTGACAGAACATCTCCAGGATCTGAACAATATCATGCATAATCATTGACCCACAGATCTGGCTAAGGGGTCTGGCTGTTACACGTAAGGGTCGCCCTACGTTAAAAGACTTTCTGCCACCAATCTCACGGATTACCATTGCCCTGCAACTCCTCAGGAGATGGAATCGCTGGCGGCTCCACTGCCTTTTGCTTGGCCTTCGCCTTTGCTTTCGGAGGTTCCTGAGCCAGCCAAGATGGGGAGTGTGAGCCAGTGCTTGTGGATTGCACCGGGTTGTGATATCCACACACAAATCACACCAATGATTTTTTCATAGTCCAAGTGGATCCATATTATGCATACAGTCCAAATTTGTGTTTGTTTATCAAAGTTTCCATTACACTTTTGATGGAGCGTACTGAACCATTGTAGCTTGTGAATGCTGCCTCGCATGAACGAATGGCTTTCAAGCATTCCTCCTTAGTTTTGGCGTTCTCAACCTCGTCGATGGCAGTGTCAGCAATCCGAAGAGCAAAAATTCTCTCCAACTCCAATCTCACATTTTTGATGTCAGCCATGCGGGTGTCAAGCTCATCCTGGAACCCTTTGATCAAGACAGGAGTCCTAAGAGAAAAGTCATGTGGAGTGATGTTTTTATGCCATTACACGGAACGTAGGAACACTGCAAAATACATATTTGCACCACAAGCCCAAAACATGAAACACCCTATGAACTCAGTCGAGGTTCAGCTCCACTTTGTTCTCTGTCAGTTTTGCTTTCCATGACAAAATATCTGTCATTTTTGCGGAACACTGAGAGATGCAGGTGCTGATTCTTTTGGACATTGGTTTGACCTTCTTGTTCTTGTCATCCTCGGGGCTGTTGTTGTTGTTGTTCTGGACCGTGGAACCCGTAGCAAATGAGACTGCCTTCAACTTGTCCAACTTAGGCACCAAGCCCGTCCTAGGTTGTGTTTATAGATAGTACTTTAAAGGTCTCTAGCTTTCCATCAACAAGAACAAACACTTGTATATATATGAACCCTTGATGGGTCAGCCTAGCTACAGGACAGTTTGTGTTTGCGAACCATCCATATTGCCCTGCCCTTCCAAGCCCAAGGATACAGACTCATTGTGTTCCTCCTCAAATTCCATCGCATCCCAAATTCGCAGGAGCTGCCAGTCCTGAGCAAAAAGAGTCTGGCAAAGGCACAGTTGAAGATGTGGTGGGGGCAAAAGGTCATCCAAGGGTTGGAGACAACATGGCTTTATATATGGTGGACACACAGATCTAGACACATGGACTTTTGAATTTAACCATGTTTCCTCCTGGCCTTTGGCTTCCGGGTGCTCCATGAAAAAAATGGTGGAGTCCCCTGCAGGCTTGTTGGCCTCAAGGGCCTTCTTCTCGGCCAAGATGTTTGCAGCAACGGCGGCTCCGAATTTCTTCTTAACTTCCCCATAAGGAAGAAGGACATGTCGACCCTTCCTCTTCTGCGTGTTGCTGTGGCTGATGCGAATTGCCAAACTGGAATGCATCCAGCTTTCACCACTCTGGAGCCAGTCTTCGAAGAGGGTTTGTAGCATATTATCTCAGTTGGTCTAGAGCGAATGTACATGTGATTGCCCATGCGTGCATAACTAACCCCAAAATAATCCTGAATATACTATAGATCGAGATAAGAAACTTTGCTTTCGGTTCTTCCACATTTCCAGGATGGCTGCAGGACAGTTGGGTCCTCAGGGTGATCTACAAGTGATCAATCAACTTTAATCTTAAGTTAAATTTCACCAACAAGTGAGTTTGTGAACATTTATGTTATACAGGAACCCTTGCCTGCGAAGCTACGGTTGAACCTCATGCGGGCGTTGTGGGCCAATCGACCCAAGTGCTCTGTTTCGGTCTCATCACGCCCATCAGGGCCTATGAATTTCACGCCACCACCTGGAAGAAAAACAGCGTCAGGATCATCACCATATTTCTCCATTAGCTTCTTTGTCTCATCAGCCTGGGGGAGTCGAAACTTTGGTGGGGCACTATTTTTTTTTTGTTTTGTTTATCTAGGTAGGCCTACAGCCTAGGGGGGCTTCTTCTAGGGACTCCTAGTGTTGAAAGCATGGCTCTAGATTGGTACCGGTATGATTAACAAAAAGAAAGCTAATCATACCCCCAATGACTCTTGATCTGATAACCCAAGCCCTGGGCCGAGCAAAGCTCATGATCTGAACCCAAAAATATCGCCTTTCACAATACATACCCTCATTTTTGGTTGTTGGCACTGTTATTTTTCAACCTGGTGGCCTCCAGCTGGGTTGTGTCCTTCCTGTCAAGCTCCGCAGCTGCTAGTGCAGGTGTCGACGCTGCCTGTTCCCCTCCTACACCTTCACCTTGAGGCACATCAGGGGGGAGGCTGTTCCAAGTTCTTTGGAGCCACCTGACCGCAGAACCAAGACATAGATGGATTCGAAGTTGTTTGTTTGTTCGATATTGCATGAAACATATATATATATATTAAAGTGCACCCGTGTTCATTGAAACCTGCCTGGGGTTGAACCATAGCTGCCTCAAGCACAGCCATCAAAGCTTTTTTCTGCGGGCCATCTTCCAGGGACATAACATGTTGCATAGCCACTGATTGAGCATCCAAGACCCTGGTTTCGGGCACTACATCACCCAAGTTGATCTTGACAAAGTCATCAAGGTCAGCCATAAGTTCCGCATCAAGATCATTCCCAGCTTGTGAAGATTGGGCACCTTGAAGTTCCCTCAAAAGTTTCTCACACATGATCTGAAGTCTCCCCTCAAACTCCGTTACAATCGATACTTGCGAAGCGACTTGCTTCTCTGAATCCTGAACCTTTTGTTTGGCCCAGTCTTCAATCTTCTCCTTCACTTTGTCATCGACAACACCAGTCCGCCCACCCATCCTGGCAAGTTGGCTACTCTTGGCCTTGGGAATTTGTCCAAGGAGCTTGTCATGGTCACGGCTCTTTGTGTCCAAGTCCTCTCCTGCCACCTCCAAATCCCTAGCCAGATCCCAAATCTGAGCAATGGCCTGTTCTTGACCCGAGGCATGAAGTGGTGGTACTTGGGGGCCCCTAGCTCTAACCCAATGGATCAGGTCCCGAAAGTGGGTGTCCTCCAGTACATCCTGCTTCATGACCACATCCTTACCAAATATGTATTCTGCCAAAGGCATGTCGCACTTGGTGGCCATCTCAAAGTCTAGGTGCACCTCTGAGGTGCTCCACGGAGAACCCAATGGCAACGTAGTCATGGAGCATGAGTTTCGCAACACAATAGGCTGAGCAGGACCTCAAGAGCCGGCCACTATAGAACGTACTAGAACACATAATATGGGGAAATACATCCCTAGATGTACCTCAATACAGACTACAAACATTTAAGGTGCAATAAGTGTAGAATATCCGATGATATACTGATCATGAAGTCACACATAAATATATATATATACCCCCCAGCTGGCCAGACCTCAAGTCAAGCTGCCAGAATCAGCAGACACGTGCACAGGCTTTGCTGGAGGCTCCACGACATTCACCTGCACAGAGTCAGAGGACTGGCGATCTCCGTGGTATTAACCGTCCAGTGTTGAATCTTTTAGGGGATGATATTGCTTCAAAAGAATGCTTTCAAAATAGTACAGTACTGGTGCTACTCGCATATCTAACTTTAAGATCAAGCCAATCTCAACATACACATTCGGGTTTACACACCTCACGCTTGACCTTCTTGCTCTCAGGGCTTTTGGTTGGTGTGTACGTCACACTCTTGGGTTGCGGTGTGCAGCGTGGCTGCTTCCTCTGAGAGGTAGCAGCACGCACAGGAGTCGCAATAGCTGCACTTGTGACTCTGCCACCTTGGAAGGTGAAGAAATCAGCTTTAAAGGTCAAAGAAAATTCCAGAATGAAAACTGCAGGGTAATCCTCAAGGATGATTTGAAGAACATGGAGCCCTTTCCCCTTTCAGAGCATGTTCATTAATCGTCCAAGTGAAAAAGGGGCCCCACTGGTGAGCTTTGGCTGTTATCCCAACATCCCCACCAAGAGCCACAGAGTTTAGAGGAATGTCAAGAATGCCTAATAATTAATATGCATGGGGATGTGTTTCCCAAAAACTGTGGGTTGTAGGTTTATGGGATTGAAACCAGGCCACCATCCGGTGCAGCAGCTTCCTTTGCACTTTGCACCCGTTTTGCCAACATGCCCATCTCCTTGATAAAGTCGAACCGATCGCAAGAGGAATGCGACTTCATGCTGGCCTGGATGGAAGCCGGACTGTCTTGGGGGGAAGAGCTGGATCATGTGCTGTTGGGACAGTTGCCATCGATGATATGCACTATTCGGGTGTGCATGTTGATCAAAACCTGCAGATGGTAGCCACTAGTCTAGGAAACCCAAACTTAATCTAGGTTAAACTGGTTGGTCGGCCCTCTGGCCTCCGAACGTGCTGGTGAAGGTCTGCTTTTGCACGCTGTCATCACGGATTTCTCATTGGACATGTCTCCTCACAGGAAATCCGACCCTGGTCTGGAGGGCTGGAGGGTCTCCCAAAAATTAACGCAAAATAACGCAAAATAACGCTCTCGATTGCCTCAGCACGGTCTTTGAACGCAAAATAACGCTATTTTAACGCTGGCTATTTTCTTGAATTGCTTGAATTTCAATCAATTTAATGTGGAAATCTGTGAAATTATAGGATATGTATTTGAATTTCTACAGTTTGGAAACGTTTGCATGCGGCCACATGTGCATAAAGCCTGTACACATGTGGAACTGTGGAAATCATACTGGCTATGTGGATGGTTATGCGCGTATAGCAACTGTACATGTGGAACATATGGAAAATTAATGTGGAAATGTGAAAATTAATGTGCCACCGCAATCTGAAATTACGAAAAATAATGTGGAAATGTATTTTCCAAATTACAAATGTGGAAACACCGACTCTCTGAAAATCAACCCAATTGTGGAAATTATTAATTGACACGCAACATGTTTTTTAGATATATGCAATGTGAAATGAAAGGGGTAGTCCTGCAACTGGCCAGGGTGTTCTGACAACCATATTTTGACAACAGCCCCCTAGAGCTCCTGCTGCCATACAGCACTGTCAGCACCCCAAGATCAAAATGGCTGCAATATCGATCAAACCTGGAACATCACAGTAGCTAGCTATACCGCAGATCTGATTGGCCAAGGCCTCATTTTTCGTCACAAAGTTGATGCTGGCAATTTACAGTCAATTAATGGTGTGGGTAGAAGCCGGACCTGCAGCAACAGCGATATATATATATATATAGATTATATCTTATTAGATGTGTTTCTTTGGTGTATCCATATATATATATATATCTTGTGGCACCCACAGCTGAATTAATCCAAACCAGAATCCAAGCTGTTCGCCTTAGGATATGCATTTTTCCCAAAGCGTGTGGATTCCCACTCCAAAAAAGTTCAAGCTAAGCAGGTTATCCCTTTAAATACCTTTGCCTGGCCATTTCAGCCACCCTCTCACTAGGTTGGATTTGCACGGGCACCAGTGGATCTGGCACTAGCATTCCACAAGCAACAGCAGTGTTGACAAACTCCACGAATGGCTGTAGCTGTGCAAAAGCCCAGCAATTTGATGGGGGGCTCCTGGAGCACCAGTGAAGCAAAGCAACATGGACAATTGCCAACCTGGCCTGAACTCACACATATTTGTCACAGACATGTCTGGCACAGTTGGCAATGTTTCTGTCAGGTTGGCAGGGCCATGATGCAAGAAATGCTTGCTCCAAATCGGTACAAACAGGGTCTTAAATTTTAAGACCCTGTTTGTACCGATTTGGAGCGAAAAGGAAAACTGCCAGGCACTGTAGGAAGCATGACACACAGTGCATACCTGCACGAAACTGAACACTTCTCATGATACTCAGCTTAAGTTCTCCTGGAAACCAGTGGATTTGACAAACTCGTGAAGGTCTGGGCACTGCGGGTCCTGAGCTCCAGCACCCAAGTATATATATATATAGCATATGTGTAGTTTGAAATTAATGCATGACAGATGGGACTTTGCAATCAACATCTCAACAAATTGAATACCAAGGGTCAGCAGACTGCATATACTCCAAATGCAATCTCGCAACTTCCGTTCCAAAAGCCCGAGGATACTGTTGCGACGATTTCATGTCTCGCCCTCCACTCCTTATATCTTTAAAACAAGTAAATCGTTCACCAACAAGGTCGACTTGATGCTTCTTACATGCTTGATGACCAGGACACAAAAACTGAGCACCAGTCACTGATTTCTTACCAGTGGTTTTGCTAATGGTTGTCTTCACCATTTGCCAATCCATGCGCTCAGCCTTCTCCTTGAGTTTCTTGCGGTCTTTGGCTGAGATTGGTTGGTTGAGGTAATCAGCCCAAATCCTGAGAGAAAGCCAAAGTCTTCAAGATGGGGCCGGATAGGGAGGAGTTGAGAACCCAACCCAGAAAGGTGACCTTCACACATCTTAACACGTTATATTGCTAAAATCTATATGCTCACCAGATTTATGTAATCCTAAGCTTTAGGTTTCACCTCATCATCCACTTCACCTCATCATCCACAAGACTGAGCCCAAGTGTCGCGTTCGAAATACCCAACTGTGGCTTCACACTCCAGCCGCCATAGAAACCCATCAACCTGAGACTGCAAACAAGCTCACCAACTATTGATTAGACCAGTCGACTCTTGACTGACATACACGTGTTTGGTCACATGGAATATGTTGAATCAGTCACCTGCTGAACCAACTAGGCATCCCACCATGATGTTCTGGAAGCTTGTAGCCAGTTTTGGTGGACCAAGTAGTTCAAGAATGGCCACAGGTGAAGCGATGAACGTAGGGGATTTTCAATGAAAAAGCGCACAGAGCGGGCCAACCCAACTAGCACAAGTAAGCACGATCTTGTACATATCGTGTTTCCTTCTTGCACAAATGCAAAAATAGGATTCCCATATGGGTTCCAACACGAGCGGGCATGTTGGGAGATACTCATAAAGGTGAAGCTGTTGCAGGGAATTGCTAACCAAGCCAGTCCATGCTGCTGCACCCTCAAAAGCAGCTTCAGTGCATTGAGAAATCCAAAGATAAGCCCAATGTCGTGCAATGCATCCTTGGACACGTCATATCCTTGCCTGGGTGGTGTTTGCAAAAAACTTGTCTCCAGGACAAGATGAACTTCGATATTTTAACCAGCAACTCAGCAGCCAAGATACGCCGTTGCACCAGCATTGCCTGGGCAGAGGAAGAGTCAGCCCCCATCCGAATTAAGTGTTGAGATTGCATCGAGTTGGAAAGAAGAAAGGTTCCAACGAGCTTTCCAATATGTATAAATATATTATATACACTACTGGTCTACCCTTTTCAAGCAAAAAACGTAACCTATGAATTAGATATATAGAAAGACCCTGACCATCTAGGCTTTAGTGGTTGGAAGCAAAGGAGCGGAATCCTGCAACAATGGATTCAACTCCACTGAAGTATTCGCAGCAAGATAAGTCCTGCAGTCAGCAAGTGGTTGAGCTAGCTAGCATGAACCAAATTGAACATCTAATGTTCGTTAGCTCTTACTTCAATTTCAAACCCTCAAACCTAACAACCATCCAAAACAGATCGGATTTGATGTCGATGTGTGATATTACGATCTTCCTTCAGTGCAGAAGGCCAACATAGAGAAGAACCCAAAACATGTGACTATTGCTTTCAGCAAAAACATGTATCATCTCTATGTGTTATATGCACACGTCTTCAAGCATGGCCCTGGTCTTCACTCTACGGACCATCCCATGTCCCGGAAGCAATCCCCGGACGCATTCTGAGCAATGAAGTCCACCAAATGTATCCTTGGGCAAGGCAGGTCAAGCCATGCATGACAACTACACAACTGTGGCCACATCAAGTATCCATCGTTTTATGTACCACATGATGTACTCATGAGCTCCCATAATGTTCAACTTGGTCTTTGTGAGTTACACTTGGAATGTGTTTCTCACACTTTGGCAATGAAGTGGCCCTGGAAACATATTTGTTCGATTTGGTCCCTAGGGCTGCTTGCAACTTGAGCCCAACCCAGCAAATTACCACCCAAAGCCAAGAATCAAGATTGGAGGCGCTCCAAGGCAAAGCAAGACAGCTGATTGCAGTTTGGACATGTGAATCGACCGAGGCATGGCCACAAGGTGGCTACAAAAAGATCCTTTGGAACATCATCGGACCGGATATCGTGACCAACCTCAATAGAGGACAGCATGCAGTACTTGGAAAGCACTCTAGATTTGTACCTGCTTGAAGCTTTGATAGAGCCAAAACGTGCCAAAAGTTGTGGCTGATTCCAATCATGATGTTTCCTTAAGCTTAAGCACATAAGGTCAAACACACCCAACTGTTTGGAAACCTCACCAGCCAACTTCCCGAACTCAAGAAGAGGCATCCAGAGTCGGAAGAGGGCGCACCCGAAGCTGATGACTTCTCTTGGGCACCTGGGGATGAGCACAACTGCACTCAAGAATCTTAATACACATGTGTGCAGAGACTACTGAACATGTATTCTGTGCAAGTATGATTTTATACATTGAAGGCTCTGTTTAGAAAGTTGCAATGTTGCTTGGGCTTGCCAACCCCACCAGGACCACCAGCTGGCCTGGATGCAAAACCAAGCTGGATGATGAGGCTGAAGACCGGCCTGCGTGGCAATTGGTTCTATGAGACTCGGCTTGAACATGTGGAAGGGGTAGCTGTGTCGGGAGGTCCAGACAACTTGACAAATCAACACCGATATAGTATATATATATATACATGCGCACATATAAACACATATATAAACAAAAGGCTTCACAACAATATGCAAAGAACGATATCGTTTTCTGGGGGTCAGATTGTGATATCAGGGCATTAGTTAAACTCATTCAGATTTACTAAATAAGATGTCATATGACTTGTCAGAACCGCTCACAGCAGCGAACACTTTTGCAACTTCCCTCAACCCAAACTTTTTGATGGCAAAAGATCTTGCCAAAACCCACGACAAAATGGCATTCGCAACAGCTGGGCAGAGTGAGCCACAGGCACCTAGGGATAAAGCACTGGACAGTTTAATTTCTCGATGTCAATCTAGCTAGATCAACATCAGCTGTAAAGTTTAGTGCATATGGCCAGTACCTGCTGGACTCAACTTGATCTATGCTGTGCGGAAGCCCCAGATCCATCTAATTGGGATTGATCACACATGGTACGCTATATATAGCATCGGCTCAGGCTTCACTGCCATTCACTGCTGCCCCCACATAGCAATCTGCTTCGCTTTTGCCCACCTGGCTTTGTGTGGATGAATTGAAAAACATATTAATACCTGCATCTTGAAATAAAACAGAGATATGACACTGAGCTCAAAACAAAGAGCAAAGGTCAGCATAAAAGCAAAAGGTGTATAGTATATTCATATTCAATAGGCTTATAGTATATGTACATATTCAATGCTATGCCCCATGGTGTACACTTCATTCGTTCAAAGCTTGCATCAACTAGTTTGCAAAATCCCAGATTTTAAACAAGCAGGGGGCACGCACTCAGTACATCACGATCCCATCCAAGCTGGAAGGCCCCATTAGGGTATGGTTTCTTGCCCGTGAGTTCCAAAGTGAGATCATAGTTGGCTTTTGCGATATAGAACGCAGATTGATAGAGGACAACTCCAATCGGGCAACCAGATTTCTTGGGGTCAGCGACAGTAAAGCTCCTTAGCCCATATTATGCATGTTGATATTTATTTGACCCACAGCCCTCAGCTCCAAAATTTAAGAAGGATGCAAATCAACACGCAAGAACACTTGTATGTAATATCGTGCTAAGTTTCTTCTTGGAGAAATCTGCATTGGGAAGGACCAAGTCGGGGATTTCCAAGCCACGAAGCGTCTCCAAGCTTTGCTTTGCCTTGTTTGCTCTCCCTGCCGATGTTTTGCTGGCCATTGGGCTGCGAGTGCTGGCTGCAAAGCTCTTGGCTTTTGGTGACAACTTCACTACACCATCAACAGCTTCTTTGGAGCGGGATTTCCTCTTGGGTTTCGGGCTTGCAACAACTGGTGCAGCAGCAGGAGCAGCAGCTCCTTCAGCTGCAGGGAGTTCTGCCGCAGCTTCAAAGGCGGTGTTCAAGTTCCGTTTCACAGACCTTCTACCTCCTTTGCCCTTGCCTTTTTTCTCACCAATAGCCTTTGCCTTTGCCTGGGCCTTGGCAAGTTTTGCCTCAAGTTTCTCCACAACCTTGTCTGCAGCAGTCTGTTTCTTTTTCTGCACTTCTTGTTTTGCTTCATCTTTCTTGTCCTGTTCCTCTTGCTCGAGCCGTTTCTTCAGAAGTCGTTGCGATTCAACACTTGTGAGTACTTCACCTTTGGCTTTGGCCAAAGCTTGGCTCTTGGCAATCTCGCATGCTGCCACAACTTGCTCTGGTACACGAGGTGGGTTGGGAATCAGAGGTTCTTTCTGTTCTGCTGCTTTTCTAGCTCTTTTGTGCGTCTTTTCTTTGGGTTGGGGGGACACAGGTGGTTCCACTGCTTCACTGGGGATGTCACTTCCATTGGGTTCCACAGGTTCTACAGGTACAGTCACTGAAGAGGCTTCACCAATGATTGATTCATTGACCCCAGGCCCCTTCACCTCCATAGACTCTGGATTCACCTGTGAATCATTCATGTCTTCAAACTCTTTGTCCGTATAGTTGCGGGGAGGGACAAAAAGCACTTCATCATCAGTAGGCTCAGCAGCCACACCAGGAGCTGCAGCCTCCCATGGCCAGTGGTTAAAAGGATTACCTATCTTAATATTATGCCAAAATCTTTGGACACATTACAAACCCAAACATGCAGAACTCAACTGTTTGGCACATCTTGGTCAAGTGAAAGACACATGATTTCCAGCCTTCATGGCACCTGGATGTCTATTGAAAAATTCACGAATGCGCACTCCGTATGGCACAAAAGCCTCTGGGTCTACCTGCTGCAGGGCTTCGTTGCCATCATCCTCGTCCATTTGGGTGTCATCGAAATCTTCGAAGTTCACTTCCTGCAGGCGCACAGCACACCCTTTGCAATTGTCTCTGTCCAAGTTTATTGCAATTAATCTCCCTTTTGTGTGGATATGGTACCCCAACCCTAACAGGAAACCCAGAACCCAAAGCCTGCACAGAGCTGCCAGCACTTGGTTGGATATCGGTGGGCTCAACCTTGGATTGCACACAGACTTTTGGAGTAATAGTACTGATCTCCACATTGAACTAAAACAAAGCAGTGTAACAAGTCAAACAACATTGGCATCAGATCCGGTAATATTCGAACAGCAGAAACTTATGTCAGTGGACATAATAAAACCTTGGCAAGGAACAGGTGCCTCTGCAGGTGCCTCTTCAGGGAACACTTCGGATTTCACCAGTACAGGTGCTTCAGTGACTTCAGCCCGGGTCACTGAAACTATGATGGGTTCATCATCATAGTCCACTTCCAATCTCACATTGTCCTGCCATGCTAGTTGAACAACTGAAAACCTTGAAGCCTGCACAAGTACTTGCAATATGTATCATGCACATGGGCCTCTGATGGAGCCCGATGCATCCCCTCCGCAATTGGACACGGCAGACCAGCAGCATTT